CGCTATGGGCACTCTACGTGCTGCTGCCAGCGGTGTACACCGTGATCTGTGTCGTGGGGATAGCCGGCAATGCGGCAGTCATCCTGGTGATCCTGAGGGCACCCAAGATGAAGACCGTGACCAACGTGCTTGTCCTGAACCTGGCCGTCGCAGACGGGCTCTTCGTGCTGGTGCTGCCTGCCAACATCGCAGAGCACCTGCTGCAGCGCTGGCCGTTCGGGGAGCTGCTCTGCAAGGTCGTGCTGGCCATTGACCACGGCAACATCTTCTCCAGCATCTACTTTCTGGCCCTGATGAGCGTGGACCGCTACCTGGTGGTACTGGCCACCGTGCGGTCCCGCCGCGTGCCCCGGCGCACCCCGCGGGTGGCAAAGGTTGCCAGCCTGTGTGTCTGGATCGCTGTCACTGTCATGGTTCTGCCCTTCTTCTCCTTTGCTGGCGTATACAGCAACGAGCTGCAGGTGCCCAGCTGTGGGCTGAGCTTCCCAAAGCCAGAGCGGGCCTGGTTCCAGGCCAGTCGCCTCTACACCTTGGTGCTGGGCTTCGTGCTGCCTGTGTGCACCATCTGCGGGCTCTACGTGGACCTGCTGCGCAGGCTGCGGGCCGTGAGACTCCGCTCTGGCACCAAGGCTCTGGGCAAGGCCAAGCGGAAAGTGACTGCCCTGGTCCTCACTGTGCTGGCTGTTTGCCTCCTCTGCTGGACGCCCTTCCACCTGGCCTCCGTGGTGGCCCTGACCACCGACATGCCCCAGACATCCGTGGTCATCGGCATCTCCTACGCCATCACCAGCCTCAGCTACGCCAACTCATGCCTCAATCCCTTCTTGTATGCCTTCCTGGACCATGGCTTCCGCAAGAATTTCCGTACCACATTCCTGTGCTGAGGGCCTTGGTGCCCAGCCCTTCCCTCTCCTCCCAGATGCAGCACCCCAGCCAGGGGTGTCCATACTGTTCCCATCATGCCCCTGTGCTCTCCATACAGAAGACATCAACCCTGCACAGACAACCACAGAAAGACCATGCTTCTGGACAGCCCTGCATGGACAGAAGCAGAGACTCCGGTCCCAGCAGAAGGCACCCAAGCCTGGTCACACACAAAGGAGGGACCAGCAGATGGCCCCCAGATGGTCCCATCCATGTCCTCTCTGGAACCCAGGAACCTGAGAACAGCAATCGGTAGGGGAAGGACCCTGAACTATGAGTTTGTCCTGGAGCCAGCACTGTGTTCTCCTAGGCTCCACCCAAATGGGACTATGATGTGACCATACTGTGGGCACCTCGGGCAGCAGAGCCAAGTGTTGCTGCCAAGGCTGAGGACAAGGACATCAAAGGAAGCCACAAAAATCCACCTTGGCCTGAAGCCCAGGGACATCCACCAGGAGGCCCATGCCCTCTGGAGGCCCTGGTGACCTGCTGCAGCACCATGACCTCTGGACCCCCACAGTCTAGAGGCTGTATGCCCTTGGAGGAGCAGGTATCCAAAACTCCCTTCTCCTGGGTGGGCCTGGGTCCAGAGCTGGGTGCTGGATCTCCCTCCAGGGTAGGGATGCACACACAGTTCAGGGGTCCAGAGGCCATGACTGCCCAAAGACTAGTCACTCTGAGCACCCTGGCTCTTGGCCTTACGGCATGGAGCATCATGCGGTAGGTTTCAGCCCTCACCACTTCCGAGGCACCCCAGAGAAGGTGCCCCCTCCCCCACTGGACCTAAGTCCAGAACAGTGCCAGCCCACCTCACTGTCCCCTCCCTGCCTCCATGAGCCCCAAACAACTTAACTGTAATCTCTACCTGGCATCTTCCCTAGCCCAACATTGTATGTGAGACCTATTGCTGTTTCTGCAAAACCCAGAGCTACAAAAAAAAAAAATCAATGTTGTTTTTGCTGCTCGCTGTCAGGAAGCAGGAGTGGCCTCTCTGGGTGGTTCTGGCTCTGTCTCCCTTGTCCAGTCGGGACGCGGTGGACTCAGGTCCTCTGGAGGCTGCATAGGGGCTGAGGATATGCATGGACCCTCCACAGACTGAGGGCCTCCAAGCTGGCCCCAGTCCCCCAGGGAGTTGATCCTAGAACTCCAATAGGAAGCCTGGACATCTCGTAAGTCTTCTCAGAAGTCACTTGTCACCGTCTCTGCCATATGCTGTATACTAGATAGGAATGTTCCTGGGGTCCTGGGCTACAGGCCTGTCCGATTTTGGCCACTCACCCAAAAACCAAACAGAAAAGGTCATGGTGAAAAGCAGGAGATTTTAATCACTGTGGTCACATTGGGAAGGCAAAGTGAGATCCAGCATCCCAATCCTGTCTAACAGATGCTGACAGAAGCTTTAGATTTAAATGGAGGAAGAACTGGGGCCAGGGCAAGAGGCCTGCGTAATTAAGCAGTCCTGGACAGGCTGTGGTCTGGCCCATAGTGATTTCAGTTCTGATTTGGCAAGATGGCTCCAGAGAAGTCCTGATCAATTTCTGCTTGCTGCTCAGGACGTGTATCTTATCAGACCTGTGGTCCTGTGCGGGAGCCATCAGCTCCCACGAGACAATTGCTCCTGCTCAGGGTGGGGGTGTCCCCTTTGGGGAGCCATGCCTTCCTCCGATAGTGCCTGGAAGAGTTAGGACAGCACTAAAGACTTCCCGGGTCTGAAACTGAATGCTGCACATCTTGCCTCAGTCTTAAGCGGGATAGGATGGCTAGGGTAAGGTTAAGATTAAGAAACCTCATGTTACAGTGTTTAGCTGAACACTCCTTAAATGATTGACATGCCCGCATGCGCAGTGGAGCAGCGTCACCACCATGGGAACAGACACCGACGGAGACAGAGATGCCAGCTTCCTCGGCTCCCAGCCACCCGTGGGGCAACTGAGGCCTAGTGAAGAGTCACTGCTCTCAGCCTAAGCAGCTCCAGCCCCTCACCCTGAGGGGCTGAGGGTGCTTCTTAACCACCATCCACACCCACCACTCCACAGAGAGAACGAGCTGTGCCTGGGCTGTCACACCTCGCAAACAGCCTAATTACCACTTCAAGCACGCTGTTCCTAGGCCCGAGAACTCCTCAGGACCCAGGCGGAGGCTGCATCTTGCTGTGGCAGCAGAACCAGGAGCACAGCACTGAATAATGAGCCTGGAGGAGAGGGTGAGTGGGTGCGAAGAGCAGGAGGCAGGCGCCCTGGAGAGCTGCCAGGCTTGGGGAGGGCCACGTAGAAGAACAGGCCCCATCACATTTTGTTTATGGCTCCTGCCCCCATCCACAGCCCAACAAAGGGAGCTGCCTCCCCTTCCCTCCTCAGCTCCTTGGGAGCACCATGGGGACCAAGAGATAGACACAGCCAGGGCCCAGTGATACCAAAGACAGACTTATCAGGGTCCTGCCCAAGCCAGCCCTATTCCTCCCACCAGAGACTCCTACTATTGGGTAGGGGGGCCACCCTGAACAGCTCACTCCTCCAAATCCCCACATTCTGGCTCTTGGTCCCAGGGAGAGCCTCACCCCGGGGGGGGGGGGGGGGAAGTGCCCAAATCTCACTACCCTCATGACCTCAGGGCCTCAAGGCCTTGCCTTGGTCTGCCATGTGACCACAGCACCCCCTGGTGGAATAGTCTGAAACAACTCTTGTGCCCAGGCTTTCCTGACTGAGCCCCACATGCACACCAGCCCTACCCACAGCCCCACCGGGATGGTTCTATGTTTCCCTTTGCACAAAAGAAAAAAACAAGGCTCATGGAAGCTGGATTTGTCCCCATCCAGGGACAGGATAAAGGTGCAGGCAGGGGTGCTGTGGGGCTGGGTGGACCTTGGGAAGGGCACAATCCTAGAGAGCCATGGAGCCTCAGCCTTCCCCCTGTGGCCTCACCCTGCTAGCCAGGCTCCTGGCAGACCCCGGGTGGGTGCTTGCCCAGGACATATGCCCCACCAGAAGGGTGGGTCAGCAGCCCAGGACCCCTCACAGGAGCCCCTCCAGCAGGACCACACCATCTCCTGGGCATTAAAACGCTGTCCCTTGGCAGGGCCTCTTCCTCCCACATTTCCCTTGACGCTGGACTTCTGTTGAACAGCAATGTGTGAGAACTCTAACTCCCAAATTCGTATGCTGTAGTCCTAAACGTGTTGGTGTCAGGAGGTGAATCTGTGGGAGGTGAGCAGGCTGTGAAAGTGGAACCCTGTGGTGCTGCTAGCATCCTTATGAATGGGACAACCAAGCTCTGGAGCCCTCTTTCCGTCATGTCACAATGAGGAGGTCAGCTCTTACTGGAACCTGATGAGTCCAGCACCCTGTCCACGGGCTTTCAGCCTGTGGAACTATGAGAACTCAACTGTGGTGCACAAGCTGCCAGTCCACAGTGCCTGCTACACAGCCCGAGGCTGTCCATCATGAAAACTTGCACAAAATAGTATCAGCCCACCTGCCCACCCTGGAAACCCTGAGCCCACCAGTGTGCCGTCAAGTCTCTCTGACAGGGTCCTCTCTGCCAGTCAACTCGGGAGTCAAGAGGTGAGTATATGGTTCAGGGTGCAGGGCCACTCGAGAGGCTGCTCTGCATGTTTCTGCTCACAGAAGGGGAACTGAGCAGAGGTGAGGGTCTGCACATAAAATGGGGTGAAGAGGAGGGGCATCAACCATAGCCCAGGGCGCCAGGTGCACTGTTTGTATCAAAGGGAAGCCCTGAAACACATCAGGAACTAGTTTCCTCTCACCAGGTCAACTTCCTAGGGGCAGGGCTGACCGGTGAGCTTCACAGAGGCCAGAGGACTCATCAGCCCCACAGCCCTCTCCCGCTCATGTGCTAAGCTCGACACCAGTCCCCATGTGGATGGAGTCAGAAACACCTGTTCTAAGGAGGGCATCCAGTCAGAGAGCAGGTTTATCGTGCCCTCCTTCATGACCCTCGCGACCACAGGGCCGCCAGGCCTTGCCTTGGTCTGTCATGGGCCACAGCACCCCCTGGTGGAAGAGTCTGAAACAGGACACAGGTTCAGGGCTGGCTACACACACAAGGAATGACACTGGTCACAGGCATAAATACACAGGTAATGTCACAGGTGGCGTTACAACAGCACAGAGTCAAAGTTCTCAGCCTTGGTAAGAAAGCACTATAGCCAGGTGGCTCCTGCCAAAGGCCTCACAGAGTGTGCCCGGGTCTCCCCAGGAACAGCCCTGCAGCCAAGGCTCCCCAGGGCAGGAAGAACCAGCCCAAGACTGACCAAGGTCTGGGGAAGAAGAGCCTCTTTTCAATGTTGCAGGTGTTTCAAAAATTCACCTGCAGGAAGAGTGTTCGCAAAGCTGCCTGATTCTCTGGGTGATCACAGCAGGGTTTCCCCAAGGGACAGAGTTCCCAAAGCTCAGAGTCCTTGCAGGTTAGCCCAAGCAAACCTTGCACAGCAGCTCTGCTTGTGAGGCCAACCTCACATCTGGCAGCAGGCTCAGGCCTTACCCAGAGACACTCTGAGGCCTGCGACTAAACAGTGAGCAATGGGTATGCAAAGCAAAACCCAGCCCAGCCATACCTCCCCAGGCCTCAGGCCCCTTCCATCTGCACAGCCACTGACCCAACTTCAAGCAAAGGAGACTGGGAGAACTCCCCAGAAGGTGGTAGGGCCCTCAGGGCTGAGCATGCTGTTCTGACTAAACACACAGGGCCCATGCTTTGCAAGCAATAGAGCCACCCATGGTGGTCCTGCAGCACCCCTCCCTGAGCCACCTCCCACACCTGCAGAGGCAGCACTGGCTGCACAGTCTGTGCACAACAGTGCACATCAGGCTTCTGGAGGGCAAGAGCCCCTGAAAAACTGCTGGGGTCAGGCCTCCTGTTCGCCTCAGAAAGGGAAGTGGGAGTCAGGCCCAGGGCAGAGCCACCATCGGGAAGAGCAGAGAGCGGCAGCACTGAGGCAGGTCCAATCCACAAGCTGTACATTGTAGCACAAGAACATTGAGAAAGTGACTGGGCCAGGACCCACATGAAGCCTCCAGCCAAGGCTGACAGCTTGCTGCATACCCTCCTAGGGTAGCCCTGGCTGCTCAGATGGAGTCAGAAAGTGTTCCAGGTGGAAGCCCTGGGCTCAGGGTCAGTCCCTCCACAGAGAAATGCTGCCCACTACACTCCTGGGCAACACCAAGACAGTCCAGTGGCCCTGAGTAGACACTGCAAGGTCAGAGGCAGTCAGAGCCCTGCCACACAAATAGCACACAGCATGTGGGGTGCAGGTGACTACAGAGCCGCGGCTACACCTGGGCATGAGCCCACCTGCAGTATCAAGGCTCCGCTGACTCAGCATGGGAGAGGTTGAGGAGGAGTCACAGGAGCATGGCTGCTGAGCAGCAGCTCCTCTCAAAGGTGTCCACAGAGCAGTGCACATTTGCAGGCAGTGTCCTTGCATCCCCTCTGGCCCCGCACCAGGAGTGCAGTTTAGTCTTATAGAGGCTACAGCGGGAGAGGCAGCCACAGTCCACTGCCCCATGATGTCATTCAGGTCCTCCTCCGGGACTGAGTATCATGGGCCAAAGGGAAAAGCCATCTACAGCTCCAGACGCTTGGGATCAGCCTACAGAGCAGTGACCTGTGTGAGCTCCGTGTTGGGCGTGGATGGGCTCTGTGGGCTGACGGGCACCATGGGCAGGTCCACGCCTAGTCATGCGGGCCGCGGCACTGTCTCAGAAGTCTTGCAAGCAAGGGCCACATCCTTGGCGATGCTCCGCACTCGGTCAGATACCTGCATCTCCCGATGCAAGGCGGATGCACAGCAGAACTTGCGGAAGCAGGCCTTGAAGTTCTCATCCAGGAAGGCATAGAGGATGGGGTTGAGACAACTGTTGACATAGCCCAGGGCTGTGCAGAAGCGCAGGATGGCCACAGCCGTCTCACTGCCTGGCTGGACACCCAGCCCTTGAACCAGAACAAAGACCTGCACAGGCGTCCAGCAGCCCACAAATACAGCCACCACCACCAGCACCAGCCGGGTGATTCGCCGCAGGTTCCGGTCCTTCTCTCGGGAGCCCGAGAGCAGACGAACACCACGCAGCCGCCGGATCATGAGGCTATAGCAGACAGAGATGATGAGCACGGGAATGATGAAGGAGAAGAGAAAGATGCAGACAGCAAACACGGGGCCCCAGTAGTCCTGGGGGGCAGGGATCTCCACCAGACACTCGATCTCTGCAGGGAGAAAAACGAGATCAGGAGGGGCTGCTGGGAACCATGGGGAACCTGGTACAGAGAGGAGGGCCACCCACTGACCTTCATCCTCCACCTGTGCTGAGCCCATGATGGCAACAGGGACGCCAACCACAGAGGCCAGGGCCCATATGGCCACATTGACAGCCTGAGCCTTGCTGGACGTCCGGACATCAAGGGCACGGATCGGGTGGCAGATGGCTACGTAGCGGTCTACACTCATGGCCGTCAGGGTGAAGGTGCTGGTGAACATGTTGTAGTAGTCAATGGCAATGACAGTCTTGCACAGGGCATTCCCAAATGGCCAGAAGCCCAGTAGGATGTCTGTGCCCTGGAAGGGCAGTGTCAGCAGGACCAGGGTGTCTGCCAGAGCCAGGTTAAAAATGTATATGTTGGTAGCTGTCTTCATCTTGGTGTGCCTGAAGAGAGGACAGGGAGAAGAAAGGTTCCTTTGGCCACTTAGACTAGACCTGGCAGGAAAGGCAAGGACTTGGTCCTGGACCCAACCCTAGGGCCCACTGAGCCAGTCTGGGGAATGAAGCCTGGAAACAAACATTCTAACAGGGTGACGCTGAGTTCAGAGGCAGCTTCAGAAAGGGATTCTGACACCTACAGAGAGCTCCAGACCTTAAAGACTGTGGGGTGCCAGAGCACACGCCTGACTGCACGGCAACGGGGTCGGAATCATAAGAGAAAGACCCTGTCCTTTCCCCTGAGTTTCCCTCAAGATTCCTCATGGACTCAACTCCTGACCCTTCAGCTACCAGAGGTTTGTAAGAGCTCCAAAGTATGTGAAATCACATCAAAGACCTCCTAGTCCATACTACTGTCTAGCAATGGAAACAGGAAGTGGTGACAGGGACAGGAGGGGTGCTCATAGGGTCCAATTGTATCCAAGCACCTGGAACAGAGCTGCAAAAATGGCAAATTAGTAATAAATACTTGTTGAATTAATAAGTGGCTGTGATAGTGGTGGGGAGAATGGTTATGGGGGCCGCGATGGTGGTGATGATGGTAATGGTGGTGATGGTGGTGACGATGATCATGGTGATGACAGTGACAGTGGAGATATGAGGGTGGTGTTGGTGTTGATAGTGATAATGATGATGGTAAGGATGGTGGTGGTGGTGGTGGTGGTGGTGGCAGTTAAAGCACCAGAGGTGACGATATTCCATGTCGATTTAGTTGCCATAAAATAACCTGGGGTTCAGTTCTGTTTATTAGAGATTAAGAATAAGCACAAAGATGGGGGCTGGGGTGGAGCACTCACCTGGCACGTGTGAGGCCTGGGTCTGAGTCTCAGCACCACATAAAAATAAATGAACAAAATAAAGGTATTGTGTCCATCTACTACTAAAAAATATTGGGGGGAAAAGAAAGCAGCAGCACAAAGACGGCCAGCGCAGTGGTGCATGCCTCGATCCCGCAGCTCAAGAAGGTGAGGCAGGGGGACGCTGAGCTCAGAGGCAGCTTCAGAAACGTGGAAAGGCCCTAGGAATCTCAGAGAGATCCTGTTTCTAAATAAAATATTAAAAAGGGTTTGGGATATGGCTCACAAGTTAACTGCCCTGGTTTCAATTCCTGGTACCAAAAGAAAAAGAATAAGCACAAAGAGGCCTAGTTGCAACCTCAATGCGAACAACAGTGACAGTGATGGTACCTCCCTGTGTCAAGCTCCTCCATGGATGTCATCTCATTTAAGATTCACAGAGATGCTACTGGATTGCCGCTGTATGGGGAGAGAACTAAAGCTCAGACGCCCTAAGTAGCTTGCTTTCTTTTTCCTTTTTTCTTTTTTTTTCATGGTACTGGTGAGTTAATCTAGGGGTACTCTATCACTGAGCTGCATCCCAGCCCTTTATTTTTCAAGACAGGGTCTCACTAAGTTGTCCAGGTTGGCCTCCAACTCACAATCCTCCTGCCTCAGCCTCCTGAGTTGGGATTACAGCCAAGTGCCACCATACCGAGTCTATGAAACTTGTTAGGGCCTTAGAGCTGATAAAAAGCGAGTGGGGCTTGGAACCAGGTGTTTTAACTCCTAGAAGCCACCCCAGTCTGGTGGCTCAAAACGCACTCTGTGCCACCAATTGAGTGGTGTGGACATGGCAGCTCCTCAGCATGGGTCTTTCTGAGGACACTGGTGGTCAAGAAGGCCTCCATGTCTACTATAATCCAGGAAGTGGCTGTGATGCCCAGTACAAGGAGACACAGGGAGTTGCTGTTAGCAGGAAGGTGGTCAGGGTACATGGCTGCCCCCAGGCGGCTGCACTTCTGGCCACAGAGGCCTGTGGGTCAGGCAGGACCCTCCCTAGGGTCCTCCCTAGAGGTCAGTACTGTGAAGGGCAAAGCTGCTCTTCCCCTTATCCAACCATGCATCTCTCTCTCTCTCTCTCTCTCTCTCTCTCTCTCTCACACACACACACACACACACACACACACCATACACATACACGTGGCTATGTGGCCTGTCCTTCCCACTTTCTGGATGGAGAAACAAGGCTCACAGAGAAATGGGGTTTGTCAGGGATGCTCAGAGGACAGTTGGGGAGTCAGGGACTGGACACTCCACTGTCCTGTTCTGCCTCCACCAACACCACTGCTACCCAGCAGCTTCCTGGGAGCCTGCGAGGCCCTATGGAGGGACGCTTGCTTCAGAGCCCTGAGCATTTCTTCAGAATCACCTCTTTCTGGGTCAGAGAGAACACCCTGGGCCAGTAAAAACTCACTGGTTCCTTGTTTTCCTGCTCAAGTCTCCCAAGGCTCCTTTCAAGACCCCACTCACTGTCTGCAGTGCACTCGACTCTCTCCCACCCAGAGGAACACAGGGTCCCTCATCTCCCCAGCCCAGAAATCCCTCCCCTTCTGCCACATGTGCCCAGGGCATGTGCCACGTGAAGGGTTCCTTACCCACCTCACAGTGCAGCCCCACAATACCCCCACAGTGCCCCCATGGCCACCCAGCTGTGCCACCACCCTAACCACCTGGCACTAGCATCTCCTCTGGTCCCCAAGCTCTCCCATCTCTGAGCACCAGCAGATCCAGGCTCAGAGGAGAGGGGCCTCAGGGAGGCCTGTCCCTGTGGGAGAGGTTGGCAAGCCCTGAGGAGGGCCAACTCCTAGGGTCGCTATGGAGCCCACGAGGTCACTCACAGTCAGCTCAGCACAGCTCAGACCAGGGTCTAGGGAGGTGACGTCACTACCTGGACAGACAGGCTGGGGAAAGGACTAAGCATCCAGGGCCTCAGGATAGAACCCGCTCCCTGGACAGGGAGAAAAGGAACTTAATGGAAGCAGCAAGATATCTCCATCTGCTCAGGTCCATCCCAAACAGCCTCCTGTCTCAGTCTCCCATCTGTAGCTGTATGGGACTCACAGAGAAATGAGGCCCCACCTACCTGAGGATGACGTACATGACGAGGCAATTCCCCAGCAGCCCCCCGATGCACACGGCCAGGTAAAGCCCCACGATGGTGACCTTGAGCCCAAGGGGCAGGAAAGAGCCATGGCTGGCATTGAGCAGCAGGTGGGGGGGCATCACACTGTGGTTGGAACTCAGGAGGGACAGGTTGCCCTGAAGGTGGCTGCTGTAGAGGACCTCCCAGAGTGGGGCAGGAAAGAGCGACTCCATTCTGCTGCCCTGAAAAATCAGTCTGTATAGGACCTGGGACAGGGCACAGAAACAAGTGACCATGTTGCAAGGCACACACCCACACAGGACGCAGAGCACAGCAGGTGCAGCCCAAACAGGCATGCAGACCCCGGGGCTGGCTGCAGACACCAAAGCACACATGCAGGACAAAGCACACACGTGAGGATACAGCCTGTGCTTACACACAGACACACATGGAGACACAAGGGTGTATGCAAGAGAGGGACACAGAACACAGAGACACTCATGCCCACAAAGGTACCTCGCATTTGGTTGACAGACTCAAACGTGGACTGCATGGAGATGGTTACACAAGGACACACATCCACCCACAGGGACTCGGGAACACAGCCACGTATGTTCAAAGGTGATGTGATGCACACATATGAACACAAAAATGCCCAAACCACCCTCATGCACACACAGAACAGACACTAGCGCCCCTGAGACATGCCCAGGAACACCCGGGCACAGCCTTCTCCTGCCCCTCCCAGCCCTGCAGAGCAGGGCCCCCCACTTACCTCTAGCACCTCAGGCCCTATCTCCACGACTTCTTTGGGAATGGGGACTGAGGAGACCCCAGCCCTGGGCAGATGGATGGAGAGGCTGAAGCAGAGTGGGGCTAGGCGGCTCGCTCCTTGCCTCAGCGCAGGGTCTGGATGGGGCTGCAGCGTAGCTGCTTCTCAGCAGACGCCAGACTAGACGCAGTGGCGAGTGCAGCAAGTGCGGCAGCCAGGAGCTGGGGGAGGGGGAGGGGGAGGAGGCTGCTGCTCCAGAGCAGGAGGGGCTGCGCAGGCTGGAGGAGGGGGCCCCATACCACATGGAAACAGACATGAGATCAGGGCACACATAAAGAGAGGGACCCACAGACCCAACAGACCCACACACAGGCCAGGACACATGACATGGATGTGCACAGACACAGATGCAGACACAGACCAGAACTCAGACACATATGAGGACACAGGCTCAGACAAAGAGTCCCAGGAACAGGAACTCAGGGAGAACCCTACAGACAGACCCACTCAGGCAGACATGGGCCCCCAACACATGCAGTCACAGCCTTGGACAGCCTGGTCCAGACCAGCCTTGGATGGCCTCCCTGCCTAGAACAGCACCCCTCAGCCAGGCTCCACAGTTGGCAGAGCCTCAGTGGGCAGGCAGACAGCAATGTCCGGCCCAGCCAGTTCTCAGAGCCTTGTTGTAAACAAGCAGAAGGGTGCTGAACCCAGCACTGGAACCACACCTACTGTGTGCTGCTTGTGCCTACCATAGGCCATGCCTGAACAAACAAGCACATTCCCCAGCACACACGGCTGCTGCCATGCACATCTCTCCAGCAGATGAGAATGTGAAACCTCACAGGTGTAAAGACCCCTGTCCACCTGGCAGGCTGGGAAAGCCCAGGTCTGCTTGTCACATGGAGCCACACCAAGGGCATCTCCACAGTTGGGCCCCAGAGAAGGGCCCTGGCATTCACACAGCTGAATCACTCCCATGGATCTGCCTCCTTGCCAGCACAGAGGTCATAAGCACACTGAAATGAAAGGTTACAAGTCAAGGCCATATGGGTGACCCCTGCACTGAACAGTCATGGGGTTGTTCTTCCTACACAGGATGTAAAGGAGAGCTAGACCTCCCCCCACACAGCCAGACCCTGCTTCTTTTCCAAGGATGGGGATCTGGTTGCTAGGCAACTGACAACAGTGTTGCTAGGATACCTGTCAAATCAGGAGAGGCCAGAGCAATCAGACGCCCCAGGACTCAGCATCCCCAGCTGTCCCCCAGGATTGTCTCTGCATCTCCACTGCAGCTGAGACTCAGGAATACATGTGACATTTGGGGAACACATACCAGCAAACATGTACACAGATACCTAGACAAGCACGGGATAAATACACAGAGACACAGGTACATGCTTAGGGATGCACACCAGAGCCACATACATGCAAACCATTACAAGGTGTACACAGGCATGTTGGCAGACTCAGAGAAAGCACAGACGCCCACGGGAACAGGCAAACACCAGCCAAGGCTCTCTAACACCCAGGAGGCACACACTCTCACACACACTCTCCAGACAAGGCTGACCCCAGACCTCAGGGTCTGACCCCAGACCTCTGGGCCAGGGGAGGCTCAGATTCCTGCAGCTCCTTCCCTAGGTGAGCCCAGAGTTCCCACTCCAGCTGCCCCTTCCTGTCTGCCCATCTTCAGAGCCTCATTTCCTAATGGCCTTTGCTGCCTCCCAGCCCAGATCCTGTCCTGGAGAAGGGGATGCTGTAGGTACTGTGAGGGTCGGCAGAGCAGAGCCACAGGACACACCAGTCTGATTACCTCACATGTCCCTGGGGCTGCCACACCCATATGGGTCCTGCCCCAGGGGGCTCCAGTCCTGCCTTGCCCCTGACCCCAGCCCTGGAGCCCTCAGCCCACCACAGGGCCTCCACACCAACTGCTGCAGTGCTGCAGGCAGGCCTGTGAGCGATCTCAGTGGACACCTGTGGAAGTCTCCATGGAGGCTGGCACAAAGGCCAGACAAAGGAGGCCTCTTGGCCCCTCATAGATACGATCACAGGTGGGAGGACAGGCTTGTCATCTGATGGTTGGTGACCAGGATGAGATGCAGACTACCTTCCCACAAAGGGGGACTGGCAGTGCAGAAGAAATGGCAGACTTCTCTTACCCTGACCAGAACTCAGTGAGCCCTCAAGAGGGGTGCAGGCAGAGCCTGGGCCTGACCAGAACATACGAGTCACACAAAGCTCATCAGGGGACATGTTATGTGCACATGTCATACACAGAGGAAATCAGGGATGGCCCAGACATGAATGTCACCCATGAAAGGAGCACGTGCCCACAAGTCGCAGTGGAGCCAACAGGGCCATGTGGGACGTCACCTGCATCTGGGCAGAGTTGGTGCCAGAATGAACACAGCATCTGCAAAGGGCGCACCCACCTCCATGCCTCCCTGGTGCCAGCCCTGGCGCCCAGCCCCAGTGCAGGGGCAGGGAGTCCGCCTGTTTCCCCTCCCCCCCTCCCTGCATCAATGCTTCTTATTTATACCAAGGGAGAGCTACAAGTCCCTTCTGACAGGACAGAACTCTCTCCAGCTCCCTGTGCCCCCATCCCAGAAGAAGGACCACGGTAAAACCTCCCCACCCACTCTGTGCAGTGCCTTCCCCGACAGTGCTGATGCCCAGGCACACACAGGAGGGGGTCAGCATCAGGAAGGCCCTGGGATGCTCAGTGACCGGCCCCTCAGCCAGGAAGCTGCACCTGTAGAGTTCTGGCTCTGAACTCCAGAAGGTACCATCTGCCTACCTAGGAACAGGTATGATAGGATTGGGAAGCAATGCAGACAGGAACACACTATGATTAAATGTGCACTAATCTTAGTCTAACTAAACTGTGGAATGAGTATGTGAATACCTGATATGTGCATGAATCATTACAGAATTAATAAACTGAGAAACTAAAATTGTCATTGTATCATAAAATTAATAAATCACAAATAGATTATGAAAATCTAGGACCGGGCTGGTATGTAGCTCAGTGGCAAAGCATCTGCCTTGCATTCGCAAAGCACTGGGTTCGATCCCCAGTTCCTAAAAAGACAAAAAAAAAAAAAAGAACCCCACCAAAAATCTAGGACCAATCACCCAGGGGTAGGATGAGGAGCCCTGAATTCTGTCCCAGTGCCTGATGAGCACTGATGGGAAAGGATCTCAGCCTTAAAAGTATGGTTGCAGTTAGGCCCAAAGCCCTCTCCCGCGCCCAGATGGTGAGTCCGTGGCCCCCAAAATGGTGCGTCAGTATGTACAGCACAGAGGTCACTTCAGCCTGAGGGCCCCCCCCCACCCAGTTGGAGGTGGGGCAGGGCTCGGGTTGCCGGGCAACCGCATCAACAAGCACCGAAGATTCCCACAGAGAACCGGGAAGTTCGGGCGAGTGGGCGCGGGTGGGAAACTCTGAAATTTGGGGGCGGGCCGGCTGTCCCTGGCTCTGCTCCTGACCCACGGTGAGCCAGGATCTGGCCCGAGGGTGAGATGGGGCGACTGGGACCAGAAGGACGCTGGGCTTTCCCCTCTTCTCTGAGCTCTGCTCCCCTTGCCTCGGCCCAGCAGGAGTCAAGCCAAGATGATGGCGACTGCCCTCAAGCAGTCGGCTCAGAGCCTCCATCCACACACATGCAGCCATACACACACAGAGCTACAAAGATACCCCCCACAAAAATATGTACACCTACACAGACATGCACGAACCTGGAGGCACACATGCACACCCATCTCGGCCTGGCTGGTCACCCCCAAACCACTGCTCCTGGGGCCAGGACAGGACAGGACAGACAAGACCAGTCCCCGAGTTCTAGTGGGATGCTGACAGGTGACCGCAGAAATGGGGGTCAATAGGCCTCACCCAGGGAAGTCCCTTGTGGTCTCTATCCCTGGGTAGGCCTGAGATGGCCTGGTTGGGGCATTTTCTCAGTTCAATCCTTCGGTGGGCAGAAAGGGCAGTTTCTAAAACTGAATGGATCAGGAAGTCCTCGCTGGCTGCCGGAGGCAGTGGGTCAACCACCCGGCTGAGCGCCTTGGCCACGACCTGTGTTCAAAAAGGCCAAAGGTTGGGCAGTGAAGTCTGCCGCGACAAATCCAGCGGGGGGAAAAAGCTGGACCGCGCGGTGGGACCGGTTTAAGGTTGGACAGCAAACGGGGTGTCCCTTTCCCTCCTCAGGCCAGAGGATGCCGCCGCCCGCAGGGAAGTGCTCGAGTGAGCAGGTGGGGAAGAGCGCGTCAGGAAGCGGGCCTCGTGAGGAGCGCGCCAAGCGGGTGCCCGCGACCAAGCCAGGCTGGACCCTGACGCTGGAGGGGCTGGCCGCCATGAGCCCCACGCAGCGACACCGCCACCTGCTTTTCGGTGACCTGCTCAAGGACGTGGGTGCAGCCGCCTCCATCTTTCCGCGCGAGTCGGTAGAGCTGGAGTACCTCGTGCCCGACCCCCGCACCTGGACGCAGTGCGAGCTACCCACCGAGCGCTGGAACCGGCTGCTGGGCGTCCTCAAGGCCGCGGAGGCTCGCGGGCGAGTCCGCGCCCTGCGACTGCGCTACACCCGAATGCGGGTGGGCCTGGAATCAAGGGCGGGGGCACCACCCATAGGGAAGACCACCCTCTCGCAGGAGTGGGCAGAGGGTGGGTACAGCTGAGGCGCGCCGCCGCTCAGCCGGCTTTGGCCCGCAGGCAGAGGAAATTGCGCTCCTGATCCAGCGGCAGGGCTCAGCGCGCGCCGCCATCAGACTGGAGACATTCCTGCCGCCACAGCTGAAACCCACACGGATTCCGGATCCCCTGGATCGACAAGAGGTTCTGGCAAGCCCTGGGTGGGTGGGAGGACCCCTCGCCTCCTCCCACACCGACCCCAGATCCTCTCCTTGCAGCGGAGGCGTGTGGAGACCATTCTGGAGGAGGCGGTGGATGGCAGCATCTTCCCACGGTGACAGTGACCCAAGTGTGTCCCCACACCCTCTCCTTACATAAAGTTCTTCTCTGAGGGCTCTCTGGTCTTTCTGGACCCCCACAGGGAAGGGGCGAATATAAATGCTGTCTCTCCCCAACATTTGCAGTTAGACATCATGGTATAGGAGTGGGCCCCCCACAACAAGTAAGATGTGAGTTGGCAGGAGTCAAAGTAAGGGAATATTCAGATCCCCCAATCCCAGCCTGCCCCCATCAGGCAACCAGTGCCACGGTGGCAGACATGAGAGGCCCCCAGACTGGAGGGCAAGAGAAAGAGCCTGTCTCAACACCAGCACCCCATCAACCAGGGCTGCCTTCAGTGCTGGTCACCCCATGGAGGGTTGCATTCTGCAAGGGTGAGTGACCACAAACCAGAGCCAGCCATGCCCAGAGCCTGTGGAAGATACCCCCAGGGCGTCCTACCTTCTGGAACAGAAAATCTACCCTCCAGCCTTCTCTCACCCTGAACAGTACCCCCACACACACCCTGCTTCCTTCCCCCAGACCCCCCACACACACACACACACACCAAGCACAGTAAGGAAACCACCCCAGCCCATTTTGACAAACAAGCCCAAGTCCTATAAGACCTCTGCCCAGTTTCTGGACAGCTCTTACTTGTATCCTTGATGGGTTCTGCAGAACCTGGGGCTCCTCTTGGTCTCCTCTCCCCTGTCCCTCCTGCCCAGAGGACTACACAGAGTTGGGAGCTATAAGGAACCAGAAGATACCAGGGGGCTCCCACTGGCTCTGCCTGGAGCAGAGAACAGATCTGGAGGGAAGGCAGAGGTCAGAGCTAAGGTTCTGCAAGGAATTCTGCTCACTGGCAGTCAATCCCTAGCCCCACGGGGACCTGTGTCCAATATCCCCTCAGCACCTTATCCTTCACCTATTCTGGGTCTTTGCTGCCCTGGGCCTCGACCCATGCCCACATTCTGCAGAGCTCACAAGTCAGCAGGCCTCCTAGGAAGAGCAAAGAGAAGGGGGAGGAGTCAGGCAGGAGGAAGGACAAGGGGGAGCAGGGAGATGGTGGGCTTGGGCAGGGGCAAATAAATAGGGACATGGCCTCAGAAGACAATCTGTGTCCCGGGACGACAGCCAGCCCTGGGATCCTCCAGTCAAGCTCCCTGCAGTTTGTATGCCAGGATTTTGTCTCTAGGGACGTACTGAGTGACTAGGAGGATCTTGTCTGGTTAATAAAGTCATGCATCATTTCATCACTTCTCTGCCCTTCATGCCTTCATGTTTAAGATGAGCACCATGGGGCTACTCAGGGACTCAGGGCAGTGCCCAAAATGACAAGTGTAGAGGCATGTGAGGACCAGAGGCAAAGCCTTGCACCCTAAGAAGACCTGCAAGAAAGGGGCCAGAGACAGCTCTGTGCCAGGCCCCCTTGATCCTCACGCCTGAGAAGAGCTGGGTCTGCAGAGGCAACTAGGGAAGAAGACACTTCTACCAGCAGAAGCTGTACAGGGGAGCAAAGCCTGCAGGCTAAGGCCCAATGTACTGTGGTCCGTGAGGGGGTCTGGAGCAGAGGGTCCTGGCTTTAAGTCCCACCCCCATCACCACATGCCCTCCCTCACTGTTGGGCTCCTCCCTCACTTAAGGGGATGCTCTGTGCAGGCCAAGGGAGTGGAGAGCAGGCCTGAGGGGTCAGAGGACATGGAGGAAGAGGGGATACAAAGTAACATGAGAGGGTGGAAAGTATTTGGACCCCCACCCACTGTCAGCTCCCCACACCTGCATTTCCCTACAGTGGAAAGGCAATGACAACCACTTCGGGATCAGCCAGTTAGGTGGCCTTCACCAGGTGCTGGACATCTCTTTTGGGCCTGCTGGTCCTCACCTGTACCTTCCCCTCAAAACTGGTGTCTAGGCTAAAGCAACAGCTGCTTCCATCCAAATCGGCTTCCTTGCCTCTGTCCTGTTTTTACTAGCCCATTAACAGGACAGCCAGAGCATAGTTCTGTTAAATCACCAGGCCCTGGGCACACAGCACTGCAGGCAGCATGGCCACCCAGCTGTTCTCAGCTCAGCCAGGCGTGAGCACTATGCAGTGCCCTGCCCTCAGCCCTCCCACCTCTCACCCACCCATTTCTTGTCTGCTTCCCACCCCCTATCTCGGATACCAGCCATTAGGTCCAAGCTGGTGTATCTGGCTCACTGCCTGGCATTCAGAGGACCCCAGATACTTCCAATGGAATGAAGAGCTTTTGTGAAGTCTCCAGTTTGCTTCTCAGAGTTCTATACAACTACTTGTGCAATTAGAAGGCATTTGTGCAGAGGACCCCAACACCTGGAGCTGGCCAGGTTGCCTACCTACACTGGGCAGGGCAGGAGCCTGGCAGCCCAGGGAGACCAAAGACATTCCGCAGACCATTTCCAGAGCAGGGTAAGGGCTAATCTGACTCAGGGCCAAAGCATGCTGGGATAACAAATAACCCACATCTGTACTCACTTATAAAAGGGCCAGAAGAGTTGGCCAAAGGGACAGGCATTGGTGGCAAAGGGGACAGTGGGGCTTTAAACTTTAGTATATCTTGGGGCAGCTTGAAGGAGAAACAGGGAGGGACTCAGCCAGACCCTATCAAACATTGTATTCACACTGGATGCAAGAACTTGCACCCCGGCACCCATCCTGCAGTACAGGAATCTCCTTTCTTGAGAAGTTCCACCAAAGGTGACAGGCTCTTGACCCCATTTTACAAGAGACTCAGGCGAGGGGTTGGCCAAGCAGGAGAGGAGTACTCCCAGCGACCAAGGCACACATAGGGCCCAGGCTCTCCTGCCCTGCGCTGGATGCCCGCATGAATGAAAAGGCCAGAAGGGCCACGCTAAGCAAAGTGGGGTGCCGGCTGCGGCCGCGTTCCACGCGCCTCAAGGCCCGGGCCACTCAGCTCCACGGTGCGGGCGGATGGGGCACGGGGCCCTGGGCGGGGCGCAGCGAGCTGGGCGGGCCGGCGCCTACCCGCTCAAGGAAGTCCCGGCCCCTGGCTTTGGGGAAGTGCCGCCAGGCGCCTGCGCACTGCTCCTGCGCCCCCTCCCCGCGGCCCGCCGGACTTCGGAGCGCACCGGCGGCAGAGGCGGGGAAGCGCGGGAGCGCGGCGGTGGGTGCGCGCGCAGCGCAGGACGGCGGGCAGGCTGTGGGGGAGCGGGCAGGAGCCTCAGAGCGGGCGCCGGGCACTGCCCTTTCTCGCGCACGTGGACCTGGGCTGCAGTGAGACCCGAGCCCAGCCCCCGCGCGTGGGGGAGGGGGCATCGCAGGAGAGTTCCCCTTTTTCTGCAGTTCAGAGCCGGGGGAAGTGATTGCTCAAAGGTGGGGGCCGGAAGAACCCAGGTTTCCGCGTCTCCCGCCCCCCCCCCCGAGCCTGGTGGGGAGGGGCAGGGCGGGACACGACACGACACCCAGTCCTCGTCTGCCCCACCCGTTGGGTCCAGCAGCCCTCCGCTGGGCAAGCCGCAGGGGAGGCGCTGTGCCCCCCCCCCTCCCGGCCCTAGCCAAGCGGGGCTCCGCGCCAGCCTCCCTCCTGGAACGCCGCAGGAGTACCTCCTGCCGTCTGACTTGAGTCCCCACTACAGCAGAGCACGCCCCTTCGACAGCCAGGGTGGGGCCAGACCGAATCCGGCCCTCCCGCCCCCACCCGCCTTTGGGTCGCCGGTGAGTGGGGCGCCATGGAGACTTCTTTAATTTAAGGGAGGGTGGGGGCGTCAGAGGCTGGATGAAGGGGCCCTGAGGAGGAGATAGGTTCCTCCAGACGACCCCACTGGCAGAAGCTAGGCAAGGGAGGTGGGTGGGGAGTGAGGGTCACTAGGGGCTGGGAGGCCCGGCCTGCCTTGTTGGAGGCCAGTTGGGATAGCAGCAGATAGGAAAGGTACTAGGCAAAGTATGGGGCTCTGTTAGCCCCCTCCCAAAGGTTACGACATTGTTTTCTGAGATTGTCACTTTTTAATTCTTTTTTTGGCCTGGGCTGGCTGCAGACGTTCTTCTTCCTTCTGTGGAGCAGAACAGCAGCCACTCCCTAGGGATCCTCTGTCCCCAGAGACCAGATTTGTGCCTGCCTGGCCTCTCCCAGCCCAGGCTTGGGGATCAAAGCCTGGGGGGCTGGGGAAGAGGGAGGAGGCCCCCAATGCCAGGATGAGAGGCCAGAAGACCCTGATTCAGACCGTGTGCCCCACAAGAAGGAAAGGCAGTGGTCCAGGGCCCTGTGGGCATTCTGGGGATATGTGTGGTTCCAGCTGGGTTGCGGAGGGAGCCAGGTCCAGTGTCTGCCTGGGAGGAAAGGGCTTGCTCCCACCTCTGCACCAAACCAGGTCCCCAGCACCCAGGCTGAACACCACAGACACCCCCTTCTGCCCCACTCTGAGTGGAGCCTCTGAGGACATCTGCAGGGAGAATCTGGAGGAGGAAGAGAGAGCTCTGGGTGCCACCAGACTTCCAGTGGCTGTGCCCCTTCCTTTCCCTAGAAATTTGGCCCCTGGAGGAGCCCTGCTGCAACTATTCTGTGTCCCTATCAGCTCGAGGGAGCCCATGGGACTAGAATCTCAGAGAAAGCCAGGCGGATAGTGAGGGGCCAAGGCCCCCTAAGTGTGTAGCTCTCAGGTATTGTCCCCTCTTGTCAGCACATACAGGGCCCTGGAAGGCTCAAAGAGGCCAAAACAGGCAGAAACAGGATTAAAAGGCCACAGCCTGGGGGAGGAGCAGCAGGTGGATAGAAAGTAATGAGAAAATTAAGTGGGATGGATTCTGAGCCTCATGGCCACTAAAAGGGAGGGTGGTGGATATGAAGAGCTGGAGGCCTTGCAGGCCCTGACCTGAACACAGGTGGGCACAGGCAAATGGGGGTAAGGCTTTCAAAACTTCCTCCTGGCCACCTTGCTCCACTGTCCCTGGAGACATTGGGATTGCATTTGGCTTTAGTGAGGGGGATGAGCTCCCTGTACATCCCACTGGTGGTCCAGGGACACTGAGGCTCTAGCTGGGGAGCTACCCCCGCCTCCTTCCCTGACTCGAACACCCTGCAGTTTCTGGAGGTGTTGGGCAGGGAGGGAAGGGGAGCCCACAGTGTTGGAGGGAAGGTGTAAGAGGCATTGAGGACCAAGGAACCTTGTTTCCCCATATACGTTCCTCCTCACCAGTGCATGCTCCACTCCCCACACCCTCAGGAAGTCCTTCTTCAAGTCCCACTCACGTCCTCAATGCTGCAGGCCTAGCTGCCCCTCTGGCCAAGTCCCAGGTGAGTAGTCAGAGTTCTCTGGGTCCCTTTTGGTGGGGAGCACCTCTGCCCACACTCTAACCCCATAGTCTAGCAGAAAGACCCTAGGGGTAAGAAGTGGGTCCAAGTGTCTGACACCCCCACATACCATACACCAGCCTCAAGCCCCAGCCTCCTTGGGAGGGGCTAGGAGCCGGAAACCAAGAAAGAGGAACCCAGGCTTCCGGCTTCCCAGGGACTGAGCAGATGGGGGTGTCCTGGAACCTCCTGTGGGTGCCTCATTTGGGGCCCAGTCTAGAGTGAGAAGCCGAAGGTTGCTGCAGCCCCTTCCTCACTGACCTGGGTCTGCCCCCTGGCCCTAGTGTAAACTAAGGCTGGAGGCAAAAACTCTGGAAGGGACATCTCTTCTAGGACCTAGAGAGTAGGCAGGGGCCAGAGTCATAGGTGCTTAGTGAGCTTGACCCCTTTCCCCCCCAGGCTGTGGTGAAGGTCCTGGAGTTGGCACCACAGAGCCTGGGCAGTCCCCTCCACCTACCCATGCCCACCCCGCATGAGGCTGAGAAGCAGGTAAGCCACTTCCTCCTCACCTCTGCCCCAGGGAGGGTCGGGGGCAAGCAGGGAGAGGAGCTGGGAGAATCTCTAGGGTATCTGGGGGCTGAGGGTCATGCCCTTGGGAGCATAGCCAGATGCCGGGTCCAGTGGGCTCTGTCCTAGAGGCTGAGGCAGCCCCATCTTTCCCAGCACACAGGGCCAGAGGAGGCGGACAGGCCCCCCCCAATGTCCAGCCATGATGTGGTCCCCCCGGCGGCCCCCAGCCGCAACCCCTGCTGTTTGTGCTGGTGTTGCTGCTGCAGCTGCTCCTGGTATGTGGGCCTGGGGGGCATAGTTCACTGAGAGGGGCCAAACCCAGGGACTCACGGGTGGCTCCATGGCATCACCTGTGGGCAGTTGGCCCTTTCCACCTCAAAGCATTGTCCTGTCCCAGGACTGCTGGGCCCTGGTGGCCGGCACCCACGCCCCCTGGAGGACTTTATGTGACTCCTGTGCCTGGTGTACTGAGGGCTCCCCATGTGCAAGGACCAGGCCTGCTGCATGCACACGGGAGCGTTCTGCACACACCCATCAGTGCCTCTGTGAGCCAGCCCAGGCAACACCCTAGGAGCCCAGAGGAACACAAGAGGCCCAGACCCTGCAATAGGGCACATTTGAGCAGAGACCCAGCTGAGGGAACAGCGGTCCTAGCACACAAGGTATCTGCACGAGGGAAGCAGTGAAGCCTCCAGGTGGTGACAGGATTCCCTTAGGTATGTAGGGAAGCGGAGGGTCATGGGCCTTGCAGAAGCCTGGCCCTCCTCAGGGTCGGGGACCCAATGGAGTCTACTAAACAGTGATAACGAGGCCTGAGCCCAGGCAAGGGGCTCAGCCATGAATTCAAGGGACAGGACAGGGTGGGGACTGTGTCTACTGAGAAACAGGATGTGGCAGGAACGCAGTGTATCTAGACCTTTGGGCTTTAGATGTCTGTCCCCCAACACAGCAGTTGGCTGGGCATAGACTTGGGGCCAGCACTGACAGAACAAGTTTCCTTTGGAGCCAGGGTCAGGATCCAGGACCAGACAGATGTAAACACACAGACTGAAGGTTCTGACCCTGCATCAACCAGCAGTTCCAATTATTGATATCAGGCCTGCAGTGTGGGCCTGTGAGTAGCCTCTTCAGAAAGAGACAAACAGGTCAGGCTGAGAAGCCCTAGATCCTGCCCATTAAGCGAGGGAAGGGGAGAAGCTGAGGAGCCACAGAAGCACAGATGGTCAAACTACTGACCAGGAAGAAGTACTATAGGTACCAGGAAGAAGTACTGGGTACTATGGCCAGGACATCAGCCTGTATAAGTGGATTCAGTAAGGGCCCCAGAACGTGTGGAAAGATCCAATGCTCAGGACCATGCTCCCTACACATGTGCCAGGCACCGATCATGCTTGCTCACATGCCAAGGCCACATGAGGCTATGGCAGCACCTGTGGAAGTCCCAGGTGCCCAGGGCAGAGCCACCTTCCTCTCTGCTGCCAGGAACCAAGAGCGGCGGCGAGCATGGCAGGCCTCACAGGAGAGCAAGCTGCAGCCCCTCCCCAGCTGTGATGCCTGGTGAGTTCTGCCGCCAGGGGCATCTGTGTCAAGGGGCAGGAGGGGACAGGCCTAATGTGCTCCGTCCCTGCCTTCAGCACCCCCCCAAGCCCTGAGGAGGTACAGAGCTGGGCGCAGTCCTTCGACAAGCTGATGCACAGCCCCGCGGGCCGCAGTGTGTTCCGCGCCTTCCTGCGGACAGAGTACAGCGAGGAGAACATGCTCTTCTGGCTGGCCTGCGAGGAGCTGAAGGCAGAGGCTAACCAGCACGTGGTGGATGAGAAGGCGCGGCTCATCTATGAGGACTACGTGTCCATCCTGTCCCCCAAGGAGGTGCGCCAGCTGCTGGCACGGGTTGGGGTGGCCTGGGGAGGGTGCCTCTGACCTCGGTGCCCCGTCCCACAGGTGAGCCTGGACTCCCGAGTGCGGGAGGGCATCAACAGGAAGATGCAGGAGCCGTCAGCACACACATTTGATGACGCGCAGCTGCAGATCTACACGCTCATGCACCGGGACTCGTACCCACGCTTCCTCAGCTCCCCAGCCTACCGCACCCTGCTGCTCCGGGGGTCCCCACAGTCCTCTTCGGAGGCCTAGGCTCCAAAGGGCTCAGGAACTCCACCCTCTGGTGGGCAGACTCAGGGCTCACACTAGTGGCCCCCACATGGCTGGCCCAGGATCTCCAGCCCTGGAAGCAGCCCAGGCCCAGGGGGAAGTGCCACACCCATGACTCCACCCCTCACCAGCCTGCTGCTGCCCAGGACATGTCTCTTGTTGGTAGCAGGAGACCCTCCTACTTGAGCTGTCTGCACTGCAGAACCAGACCCAGAACCAGATTCAAGTGACAGGACCTGAATATATTTTACATATTCATGAACTCTAATCCTGGAAACATCTCCTTACTGTATGTTTTACCAAGAAAGAAAAAAAAAAAAAGTTTTCATATTTATCTCCATTCCTACACCCCCAAAATGAGATCTTATTCTTGAAGGTGTAGTTGAAACAGAAGCCTATATTTATGCCCACTTTGTGGGGGGAGACAGGAAAATGAGGGATCATCCTTGACTGCTCCCAGACCCTCCCCACAGCAGGGGCCTCTGGAAGCTGAACTCAGCCTCACCCAGGTGGGCTCCAGACCTGGTGTCTGCCTCCTGAGTCCTGAAGCAGGATCAGGCTTGAGCTGACACAGACTGCAGGAGTCCCTGGTAGGTATCATACCTCCCAGAGGGGTGGCCACTAAGGAGGCAACCTTCCCAAGAGTCCCTTGGTGCTGTCACAATGTTGTCTTCATCATAGGCCCCATAAGGCATCATCTCATTCCTCTGAATTTCTGGGAGCTTCAGTGACTTCAAGCAGGAATTGGCCAAGGGCTGGGACCCCGTTCCCTTGGGGCAAACTGCATTCTGTCTCCCCCAGTGGAGGCAGGATGAGGCAGGCTGTCCTAAAGAGGGGGCTGAGCCCTGGCTGCCCGTCCCGTGGGTGGGTGCTGAGCAGGTCAGTCTGACCCCTCACATGGACCCCAGGTTGTCTGTGTGTATACAAAGCCCCTTCCCCACCTGCCCCATGGCACACTCAGGAGAGGCAGCGCCACCCCATCATCCTGGCCTCGTGTCACAGGTGATCTCTCCAAAAGTCGCCTAAGCTCTTGCCTCAGGAGCTGCCCTGCTAGGGCTAAGCCCAAGAGTTGCCTGTCCACAGCAGCAGAGAAGAAGCAGATAGGCTCAGTTGAAGCCTGTGTATAGCCCACCAGGAGCAAGGCCCAAGGATGGCAAACAAGACATTTAATAACAGGGCAAAGGGCAGACAGGTGCACACCAGGCAGCTGGGGCAGGGCATGCCGTCTACTGGGGGTCTCCAGAGAAGCTGTGTCCACCAAGAATGCAGGAGGGGCAGCATTGACCAGGACCTGGGGCTACAGCGCAACTGCACAAGTGCTCAGCAGAACTGCAGGGAAGCAGTGAGACGACCAAGCCATGGTTTCAGGACCGCCAGGGCTGGGGTCTCCACCCGCCCCCACCATCCCTGAAATGACTAGGAGGCAGGCTGGGCACGGCCATCCCTGGTTCACGCCACAGACCCTACATAAGCCAAGGTACCCACTTAACAGAGAATAGGGTTGGGGGTTGTCCTGAGCCCACCCACCTACCTTCCAGCGGTTTCCACATTCATTGCAAACAACAAAGGTGGTCATGGGCTCATCAGAGCTGCGGGTCTGTACCTGTAGGGCACGTGGAGCCCAGGGTCACCACCAATCTCTGCAAAGGGTGTCCCTTGACCTAAGCAGTGCTGGCCTCAGCCCCTGGGGCAGCCTGGGTGACCTGATCTGAGAATGCCCAGTCTTCCAGAGCTGAGCCTGTTGGTACATGAGCCACCAATGGGGAAGTCCTTGTATGGGTCTGAAGGGCCTAGCAAAGCTAAGACTGTCAGCTGAGAATAGGAGGGACCCCATATTGGGGTGACTAGCAGGGATGCCAGTGACCATAGCCACCTTCCAGGAGGCACAAGGGCAAGCCTCATCCCACAGGACCATGGGAAACCAAGACAGCCCTGCACAGACCAAGGCCCCTTGCAGGGCTGGGGCCTTGTTTCCACAGGGAAACAGCAGTTCTCACTGGCCTCCGCAGCCTCACCAGACAAAGACTTATAACCTCCACCTTCTTCCCAAGCTCCCACCATCACTTGTCTCCCCAGACACTTCGGCATCCATTTCCACAGCAGGGTCAGGATCCTGCCTGCACTGACATCCTCATGTCTCCTGTACTAGGCAGGACAGCCCTCCAGCTTCTGTACCCCAGATCAAGTGGGACACTACTTACTAGGCTGGGAGTCCTGGGGAAATGAGGGCCCTGAAAATGCAGGAGAAATCCACACTTGGGCCTCTGCCCTGGCCTAAGTCCAGGCATGAGAGCAGCCCCCACCCAGCCAGGCGGTGACAGGTGTGGGCTCCAAGGAGAGTATGAATGCCCAAAGACATGGGCTCAGGAAGTGGCAGCCACTCGCCTGCGTGTAGGTACAGTTCTTCTTCCTGCACTTGCCACAGGTGAACAGGTCTGTCTGAGTGCCACCTGTGCGTGCCATCTGGTGCTCGCGGATGGCCTCCTTGGTCATGGCCTTGCGGATCTCCTTCAGCTCATCACTGGCCATCTCCTGGGGTGAGGGGCCAAGCACTCAGCCTGCAGCCCCACAGAAGCAGCCCCCAGCCCCTGCAGTGGGGCTCACCTCCGATGTCATCACCGCAATCTGCTGGGGGGTTATGGCACCACACAGCACATTCCGCCGGAGGTCAGGGTTCTTGGCATCCTTCAGGTTGGCAATGCGACTGCGCACACGGTTCTTGTACTTCATGTCTGTGTTTCCCACATCCCGGAAGATGCGTGCAGGCATTTAAGGACCCATGAGGCCACTGTGCTCCACCTGCCCTGCTGGGGGCCATGTGGGGATGTTCTGCCCAGCTACACAGGAGCACTCCACCCACCCAGGCCTGGTGAGGAGCTGAGGGGCCACAGTGCTGCACCTCCCCCAGACACATTCCTAACTGAGATCTAGGCCCCACCAGCAGGCCATGCCAGCCTCTTGGCTCCTCCAGGGAGGGCCCTCCCAGGGTAGCCACCCCATGATCCAGAGAGGCACAGGCCCAGCAATGGTATCCCCCAGCCACCAAGAGGACCTGGGGCCAGTAGCCTATAGACCACCAGAAGCCCTGGGCCCCAAAATCCCTGCACAAAGGATATATTCCTCAATCTGGGCCGACAGTCGCTCACAGTCTGCACCAACAGCCGCATGGTCATCTGCAAGAGGGAGCCCTCACTTGCCACCCACTTGCTTTTCTGCCTGCACCAAACCCTGGCAGCGGGGAGATACACTCACGTCCCTGGGGTCACTGCCCAGGATCCAGGTTCTCTGGTAACCCCAAACACCTCCTGCCTCCTCCAGGGTCACAACAGATTGGGGGAAGAGAGCCACATCCCTGAAGCAGGCCTCTACAGCAGGCAGGGGCAGGCCACGCTGTGCGTCTGGGTGCATATCCAGCCAGGGCCTGCCAGGCACTCACGGTCTGTTTGCAGGGCAGTGGTCAGCAGCTCCCGGCACTTGTTGCGCACAGCATCACAGGTAACAGGCGCTGGGGGAAACGTGGTGATCCTTGGGGTGGACAGCATCCTAGGCAGCTCCGGCCTCTTGCGGCTGGAGAGACAGGGTCAGACTTCAGGCCACAGGCACCCTAGTAGGATGCTGGTCCCCAGAAAAGTAAACGTCACGGCACTGTCCCCACCTTCAAAGCCAATCTGCTGTGCCCTGACAGGCCCTGGCAATGGCCTATCTTCAGTCAATGCCCATGCAGCCTGCCCAGCTCCCCAGAGGGAAGAGTAGACTGTAAAGTCCCTAGTGATCAGGGCGCACTCCCCACATGGGGACAGAATGCTGGATTCTTTTCCCAGAAAGATCTGTGCAGCATCCCCAGCTGCTCAAACTGAGCTGGGGATTCCCTGACACCTCTACAACGTTCCCCTTGCGGAGGACCCAACCGTGGGCCACTTTGCCAACACCTCCCTCTGTTGATGGCAGACCAAGGACAGGGAGTGACCTGCAGCTGCCTGGAGGAAAGATGGCGCAGGAGCTGCCCAAAGTTCAGCCTGTCCCGACCAGGGCCCAGCCCCCATTCACTTACTGCCTGGTCAAGGGCAAAGCGACCCTCAACCACAGCCTGTCACCAGCACACTTCCCAGTCTCCATAGCAACAGGGGCCTGACTTCCCTCCTGGGGACAGTGATGGCCACATATACTTTCAGGACAGGAGAGGGGAACCAGACACCCTGCTTCTGACTCTGAGCAGGATCTTGTAGAAGGGGTTCCAGCCTCAGGCTGAAGGGGACATCCAGAGCAGGCCAGTGAGAACTAGACCAGGACAGGGTCTTGAGGAAGCAGGCAGAGGGTTCCTACAGAGGATCAGATGTGCAGCAGCTCTCTGCTGAGGAAGATGTATGTCAGGGGTCTCATTGACATCTGGGAAGACATGGCCACCCACCTCAGATGGCTGGGGCAGGGAGTCTCAGCTGTGAGACACAGTGCCCAGCATGAGGCTGACAAACATCCTTAGAGAAAGCCCCTTCTTCAGTGCAGTGCCTAAGCACATGAGCATCAGCACCCTTTTTCTGCTGAGGCAGGAGGGTGTACACCTGAATTCAGGTATGCTACCTGGGATCCATGGCCTCTGAGCCATCCTTTGAGGATGATGTGGGCAGAGGTGTGCCCTTCCCCCGGTTCCTGGTTTTGGCATCAGAAGCATCTGCCATTGTCAGAAAAGAGAGGGACAGACTGGTCAGGGGCAGGCCACCATCAAGGTTCAGTTCCATCACCACCAGCCCTTGTCCAACAAAGTGCCAGGAGGCCACCAGGTCTTCCTGCCAGTGGTCCTCTCTCACCCATCAAGCCCATCTACCTCCCCTCACATTCCCCCACTCAAGCAGCTCACTGTGAGGCCCCTCCAGGGCCCCCTCCTGCCCATCCAGGGCCTGCCTTGGGGACTAGGACATGAATATGGTACTCCCAAAGGCCACACAACTGGAAAGTCTCAAGAGATGATGATCGTCTCTCAAGGGTGTGGACAGAACTCAGGAGAGGCTTGGTCCTTCCCAGGTCCAGAAACAAGGCTACCTCCCTACCCCATGGGGGATCTGTGCCGCCCAGGCATCCTGTCCCCAGGAGGAGACCATCTTCCCTCAACCCAACTTTCTCTAGTGGTAGCTCCATCTCCTCCTTCTCCATCACTGGGAACCTGGAGCATCCTGGCCTTACCCTTCTCCTCTGTGTGATCTAAAACAGCCCAACTCCCTCTTTTCTAGGGCTCCTGGATGTCCTCAATGTTCAGTCCAGGTTCTGCACTTG